ACACACACACACACACACACACACACACACACACACACACACACACACACACACACACCGCGCGCACACCTACTCACCCACCCACCCAATCTGAGTACCTCTGGGCAGATGCGCATCATGTAAACAGAGCACATGGGAGCATGATGCAGCCAGAATGGGTAATGTAGCATGTAGAGGAAAGGAGCTAGAGAGTAAGGACAGCAGGTATGGGTTTTGGTATCCAGAACCAAGGAGTCCATGGGACAGAGAAGGAACCTGCATACTGTGAAGGAAAGGAGTGGTAAAGACAGTGAGGGGGCTGTGTGCACTTACATTCCATTACACAGGGTTTCGGTCTTCGCAACCAGATTGACAACTTGCATCCGCACCGCCTGGAGCCGGTTATCATCTGGATGTAAATCAATCGGGAAGTTGACAAGCTTGGAAAGCAACTCCACACTCTCTTCAAGCTGCATCTGACGATCTTCGAACAGATTCTGATTGATGTTGTTTTGTTCACGAGTGATCTCGTCCTTGAACAGATCGTTTCCAAACATGTAAAACGCAAACACATACGAGTATGCAAGCACCCGCCGGGTGCGAAAGAGTACCTGTAACGCATTCGTCAGCCAGGTGTAATCTTTCACCATAGATTCACTCTCCTCCAGCTTTGCAATCTTTTCGTGCACGACTGCTTTCTGTTTCTCCTCCAGCTTCAAAGAGTCCATATGTCCCTTCCAGAAATTGTGGTAGTGCAAGTACCGTTTCAGATCCCGTTCCGCGCGTTTCGCCTCCACTTCCTTTTCATCCTTATACCTGCCACAATTGTGCCCTGCTATGTTTGTCCACGTGTGCTCACGGCCAGTCGGGCACCCACATAGCCAGCTGCACGCAAACCACTACTCAGCTCAGGGGAGTAGGAAAGATTTCTCTCAAGAGCACACAGCAATGATTAATCTTCTAGTCAATTTATCATCACAGATGCCATAGAAGACACAAGACAATCATTCCAATCTAATCATTTACACAGGAGGAACAAAGCGAAGCAGGAGAGGAATAGGAGGAAGAAGAATCAGAAGTAGAATGGAGAGGAGAAGACGAATTGACCAGTTTAACCAACCTGCCTCTGTGTTGTAGTTGCAATTGGCATAGCAATGAGCATGGTCACAATGAGCATCGCAACGAGCATGGCGATGGCCATGCTAATGCGCATGCCAAGCAATGGGCATAGCAACGAGGATGGTAATCATCCAGTAGAATCTTCATTCAAATGGATCACAACGCAAAATAACGGCCGGCCTCCTGTCAAGCAGGGCAGTTGTAAAAGGTAGTGGTGGTTTCAAAGGAACACGTCATCAATTCAATAACAATTCAATCGCAATGAGCACAGCGGGCACCGGAAAGGCAACCTCGTATCTGCTGTGTGCATGATGAGCGCGAACTGTCCAGTGTGAGCAAATCGGTCATGGATGTCCTCTCCTGCAGTCCACAACCTTCCCCCGCAGTCCACAACCTTCACCCACCAAGACTTCAAGGGTGGCCACGGACGTCCTCTCCTACCACAAGTTCAGCCCAGTGATTCTGTGTGGATTTCCTCGGCTGCACAGGCCAGATGTTTCACCCCATGATTTGTGCAGAGAACCTACAGATGGCAAGAGGTGGCTGCAACTTAAGAGCACCACCTTGACAGCTATATCACAGAACCTAGCAGGGAACATCGCCAGGTGCCCCATGTGAACCAAACCGTTGAGGCAGTAGCTCTCCCGCCCCCCTTCCCCCTGCACTCAGAACATCACGCAATATGGTTTTGGGAAATTTTGGCCTCGTTGAGAATGGGTTAATGTTTTATGTTTTCCGAAGTTGGTTAATAAAGTACACTGAAATTTAGCACTGGGAAGAGAGAAGGTAGTCTTTATCGAGTTGTGTCACTTGGATGTCATCATGTCACACAAAAGAGTCCTTTGCACATTGCTAGAGTGTTGGAACTCTCACTTCTTGCCATATACTTATATGCTCATTGCCATGCCCATTCCCATAATCATTGCTCTGCCTATGGCAAGTCCAGCATTGAAACGATGTCTTCTATCGAGGTGGGTTTCACAAGGCGGGTCGCTTTGGACACTGCTGCAGAATTGGAGCTCTCTGCTATTGCGAGTCATAGGACTCGATAAGCCCTACTGGGGCCCTATTTGCAACAGGTCGCCCGCCCTAAGTGAAGGCAGGCTCGACAGACGACAAGAGGCCTATTTTGGACTACTTCGCAACTGAGGTAAATTCAGGCAGTTGAGCAACGCCAGTTGGTTGAAGGCGCCCAGACCCCGGCCTCCTTTACCGAATGTATCTAAGTCAGGCCCTGGGCGAGATACGCAGCATAGACCCAACTCAGACAGCGAGCAGTTGGGCACGGGAAACTGTCGGTGGCCCTGGGTCTGATTCGTTTGGTCTGAGGGTCAGTCTCCCTGGGCCTACCGGAAGCTTCTGGGCAGGGGCCCAGCGCAGCCAGGCTGCACGCAAGCAGGCTGGCCACTTCCATTTAGGAAAGGGCCAGCCCACGCATTGGACATTCGGGCACTGGCTGCATGCTGCGCAAGCGCTGCTGCGCTAACGCTGGCCAGGCTCACGCGCTCACGGGCGAGCTGGAAGGAGCAGGCAGCCATAGCCGAGCTGCGCTGCTGTATGCTGGATGGGGCGCATGATGGTCCTTGGATGCAAGTGGCATCTGTGAGTTGGGGAACGAGGTTGTGAGTGATACGAGAGACATACCTGGCGCTTGAGGCATGCAGCATTGGCCAGGATCTGCTCGTACTTGGAAAGCTGTTGACATCATCAGCGGCATTGTAGTCTAGGCTAGATAGGATCTGCCATTCGTAGTCTGGGCGCCGAGCGCCAGATAGGATATCAACATTGTTTCTTCGTTGACGATGATGAGACTATTCCAGCATTGT